CTTGGTTTTCATAGTCGTGCTGCTGCCCATAAGCCTTTTGATCACAAAGTCCAACCGCGCTGCTCGGTTAATGTGGTACAAAGCACATCGAAATTGGACCATAGATCAGTGGAAACGGGTTCTTTGGAGTGAAGAATTAAGGTTCACCCTTTACCGTTCGGATGGCAGGGTCTGGGTCTGGCGTCTACCTGGAGAACGTCTCCTGCCAGAATGCATTGTGCCAACAGTCAGGTTCGGCGGACGTGGAATGATGGTCTGTGAGTGTTTCTCCTGGTATGGGCTGGGACCCTTGGTACCCATTCATGGTAAGCTCAACTCCGATGCCTCCTGCACTATTTTGGATGACAATATGCTTCCTACGTTGTGGCAGTTTTACGGGTTGGATCCCTGTTACTTTCAGGACATCAATGCCAGTTGTCATGTTTCGACGTTAACCAAGGCTTGGTATGGTGCCAATGGAGTTCATCGAATGGACTGGCCTGTCCAGAGTCCAGACCTGAACCCTATCGAGAACCTCTGGGACGAGTTGCATCGCCGAATTCAGGGGTGCACTACCCGTGCAAAATCGGTGAAAGAGCTTCTATGTCTTCTCCAAGCCGAGTGGAAGAAAATATCACTAGCTGTCATACAAAGACTTGTGGAAAGTATGCCCTGGAGGGTCCACGCTGTAATTACCTCTCGTAGAGGCTCTACCAACTATTGATTTTGAATAAAGTTAGTTTTTCTTTTTTATCACAGGTGTCCAAATACTTATTGGTAGTCAGTGTATATTTTAAAATATTTTTTGCACATGGATCGTATGCCTAATCACAAAATATAACCTGAAGTTGAAAATTTCAATTGTTTGTTTTCTATGTACAAATAAGTTATTTTTATCAATTGAACATTTCATCAGTAATTTCTTAACACATTAAATATAGCATTGGTTCCTAGGAACCAAACTTAAACCAAGCAAAATAGACTTGTTGTTTAAAATATTAGATATTGAGAAAACATAACATTAGTGTAAACCATTGTAAAACAATAAATTAATGTTAATTATGTAATTAAATGTTTACTTATTCTCAGATACCATCCATTTGTCGTAAAGCCATTTTTGATTTTATACAACAATGGTATAATAAACTGAATGATGTTAATTTATTAAATCTTCTTGGACAATAACAATTATAAACAGAGTCCCTTTTGTATAGTCAATCTGCTACTAGAAACAATTATTCCAAATGGAAAAAAAAATTTGCAAAAAAAAAATTTCCAAACAGTTTCGATATGAAGAAAAAACGATGATACAGCATGCAATGATAACTTCATCTGAATATTTTAAAGCAGACTAAAGTGAGAAACCTTCTATAAAATGGTCACAAAACTTTCACACTGAGAAAAATTATTACCATTTTCCATAATTAGTATTCATCAGCAGTTGAGTGGATAAGACTTGTGGATTTGATGAATAAACGAAATCGAAACTGATCAGCCAGAGCATTTCATAAGTGAAATAAACGCTTATTTTGCTCTTAAAAGAAACAGCATATTTATTTTTACAGTTTCCATTCTTGTTTGCAACATCTTACCTTTTTTTTTTAAATAAAATATAACAAACTTTTAAGAAATAAAGCTTACGCCAAGAAACGCTCGAAGTGACGACTGCAATAATTTGGGGCGAAGGGCTGAATAGGGTTGGTCTAACCGCCCCAGGCAGGTAAGTTGGAAAAAGTGTCAACATCTTTTTTCAATTTTCCGCTGTTCCCCAAGGCGAAAAAGAGTTACGAGACAGAATTCCCAGTACCTTTTCAAATTGAAGCTGGCTCGCCAACATACAAGAGGGTTCCGGTATAAAGGTAGAGGAGTGCCGGCACCCTTTTGAAGTTTGGTATCATGAAGAAAGCAACGCTTGTCAAAGCAGCCAGGACACAAATGTGAAGTCTTAATGTTTTAATCTTGAAGAAAAGTCGTCCAGTTGCACTAACGTGCCGGTACATTTTCCAATGTGCCAATCGCTCACTAGGAGACAAGAGTGTACTGATATAAAGTCACAAATGTGCCGGTATCCTTGTTAAGTTTGGTATCATGAAGAAAGCAATCCTGAACAAAGCTGACACCATATGTAAATATCATAATCTTGGTAAACAGTTTTCAACTAGGGGAAAGCCAGCACTTTTTCAAGTTCACCATCGTTCCTCAAGACACAATGATGTCTTGAAATAAAGTCACAAAGTAGCTGCACCCTTTCGAAGCTCGCTGCCGTGAAGACAACAACCCTCATCAAAGCTGCCGGGACAGCACATGTCTTAATCTTGGTGAACAGTCTTCAGACTTGCACAAAGGTGCCGTTGCTTTTCAAGTTGACCATCGTTCCCCAAGACACAATGGTGCCTTGAGATAAACTGGGGGTGTCACAAATTGGCGGCACCCTTGCGAAGTTCGCTACCATGAAGAAAGCATTCCTCATCAAAGCTGCTGGGACACCACATGTGATGAATGTCTTAATCTTGGTGGACAGTTTTCAAAACTTTCCACCAAGTGTTGCCGACATTTTTCGTGTTGACTATTACTCATCCAGATAGAAGTGTGGCTTGACATAAAACCACAGATCTGCTTTATGAAGTTCTGTGCCATGGGGAGAAAGCAACTTAATGAAGACTGCCGAGACACTCCATGTGAAGGTTTTTAATCTTTCCGGAAAGTTGCTTATTTGCATAAAGGTGTCGACATTTTTATAATGTTTTATGAAATCGTTGGGGTGGTGAAATCTAAAAACTCCTCGTTTCTATAGAGTAAAGAGTAGAACAAAGAACTGGGCTGAAGAATGGATGTAATGTGGTCTGCTGCCCGATACAGCTTGGCAGTCTTAATTGTAGAGGTTGGCTTTCGCCGATCATGTAAATGCATCATTTGTAATGGAGTAAAGAACTGTTATGAGCTCAATGCAATGAAGTGCGTTGTATGCAATGGAGTGCCAGGATTAGATCCAACAATTATGAATTGAAGACGAGCTAACTACGTTAAGATGGTGAATATAATACGGTTACCATTCAGTTTATCTCTCAGTTTTTTTAAGGGTTTCATCAAATAATGCTATGAGCTTGCTATGAGTTTACCTTTTTCTGTTGCATTATCCTGCAGTTATGATTCATGTTTTATCTTCTTTGACCAGAGGTCTCAAACCAAAATTGCACACAAGATCTAAAAATAGCTGCCCAGTCAAAAAACTTCTATTTTTAACAAAATGCAATTTTTATTATGAGAATAAAAAATTGCATAGCAGTCATGGCTGGAAAGTGGTGTTAAATGTACGAGAAATGAAAGGATACAAGCCAGAGATTACCAGAAGTACTCTTTGCTCGTAAATATTGCATATTATTTCAGTTGACGATACCATTTCAAAATTTTAAAAAATTCCACCATTACAAGCATCGCATTCGAAAAACCATGGATTAGAACCATGAAGGAACCATGGAATCATGGAAGAACCATGTTACAAACTGTTCAAAATTTCCACCATTACAAGCATTGCATGCGTTACAGCGAAGAACCATGGATTAGCCGACTCAGTACCTGGACTTGCGTGGATGTCTGCAGCAACGCAGACGGTTCTTGCAACCAGATCCATTTCAGACTCACACGTTTTTCATACACAACAACTTTAAGTGCTCCCCAAAGAAGGAAATCGAGGCTTCTCATATCTGGAGAACGTGGGAGCAAAGTAACGGGTCCATCACCAAAGCTGCTTCAAGAGATACAGCTTGTCCATCATATACAGCTTTGTCCATCACTCCCGATCCTTCGTTCACCAAACGGCATACACAAATGTCTCCGAACACATCTTCCATAATGCGAAGGCGCCCATCATGTTGAAACCACATGATCCGTCAATTCTGGTGGAACCTGTTTCGGAAAGATGAAATCATTTGTTGACGTCATAGATGATAGTAATAGGTGCCCAACTAGCAGAAGAACGTTCAGAGAACCCTCAGTGCAAGTGCTTCACAAAGGTGTAGGGAACGTTCAAGCAGAACGTTCAAAATCACATCTATATATTACAGTACTAACACGCACAATAACACGTCAGATACCTGTGCTTGTAACATTTTCAATGCAATGCGTCATTAACGTTCCAGTATAACGTTTTTGGCACGTTTTACCTGAATGTTCCGAACCACGTCTATGTATTGCAGTTCAATAACGGACAGTATCACGTCAAAAGTGGTACTGACTACTGACCCTTTTTTATAAAGTTCTATGAATGTTTTTCTAACGTTCTAACAGAACGTCAAAAAATGGTGTTACTAACACTCTTGTAAAACGTCCCTAGAACGTTGTGGAAGCTCGGGTAACCTTCTAGCAGAACGTTTCTTCCACGTTCTAGCAGAACGTTTCTTTAACGTTCAGGCGAAACGTTCTCAACTACGTCTGTAAGATGTAGTTCATTAATGGACAATAGAACTTCAAAATATGGTACTAGTAACAATTTTATATAACGTCCCTAGAACGTTCTTTTAACGTTTGGGCAGACGTTTTGAATGTCGTCTATGGATTAGAGGTTTATAACGAGCAATAGCACGTCAAATACTGTTAACACTGTTAACACTTCTGTATCACTATGTATGTACTGTTAACACTTCTGTATGACATGCAAAGAACGTTCTGAATCCCATTTAACCAAAACGTTTTGAGTTACGTCTAACTAGAATGTTCTGAATCCCGGCTATATGTACAGACTCTGAGGGACAACAGTTCGTGAAACTAAGTCCCAACGATACAGTCGCCGATCAAACCGACGCAAACATTGTGACATCACCCTGATAGCAGCGTAGCGTGACGTTTGCGGTCATGGGTTGCTATGCAATTCTGAATCATTTTGATGTGCCGTACCTGCCACTAAAGTTTGTACCAGTATTTATGGCACATCTTTATATTTAAATTTCCATATATATGATTTTAATCAATATGCTTAAAAATTGGAGATAAAACCTATGAGTAAAATACGATTTCTTCTACAGGGGGATCTCAGCCGCGTTTCTGAGCGACCGTTCACTGTAACGGAGAGGATGGAAGCTCCACCATCTTACGAAGAAGCGATTAAGCATGATGCATTTCGTGGGTATTCACTTTGTACAACAAGTGACGTCATCCACGAAACCCAAAGGTAAGAATGTTTGGTTGTTCCAGTTTATCTGTCATCTAAAAGATCCGAAAGGAACAGGTACCAAATATCATTCTTAGAGATTTTTATTAAAATTCCAACACTACTTTATCGTATTTTCCCATGCGAAGTTCGTTAATGGAATGTCCAACATTCCCTTGTGCAAAGTTTCTTTGTGTATATATATATTTTTTTTAGACAAAGGGGCAATTTTCCCAGAAGAGCTATTAATTTCGTTTTCGCATTTTGCGCCGATTCACTATAAACACCGAATCACTTTTTAAATTGTTGCCACCAAATATTAGAGCCCTGTATTATATTGAAAGAAATTAAATAATGAAGAATCTGCATAAATGTATGCATGTTTCTATAAAAAATATTATAAAACAACGGTTGGTGATAAAATAACGGTACCTAGAGCAATCCAATTTCGAATAACTTACGTCTCTAACCGACTATGGGCCATCTGGAACCCCAAATTTGGAATTTATTTTATTATCTATTTCATATTTCGTAAAACTTGAGTTTATGAGTTTTTGATTAAGAAACTCAATGATTTCAAAGCGAGGAATGACAACACTGTATGGGAAAAAAAGATTATCTCCAGCGTTCGAGACTGTGTATCGGAAATTATAAAGATCTGATCTTTTAAATATTTTGTGAAATTGTTGTTGAATTGAATTTTATGGTTTAAGTACGAAGAACATGATATTTAATAAATAAAGGTAATCCACAAAACGTTAAAAAAAAGTCCCTTTGGACGTAATATAAAATCTGCAAGCTTTCAGATTTTTTTATTATTTTTCATTTATTTATTTGTATGTGCAAGCTATGAAATTTTTATTATATCACGCATATTATTTAATGTGGATAAAGGACCTGAAAATAAAGAACTGTCCATAGCATCAGAGGTCCATAGCTATAGCCGAGCGGAGGGGATGGTCAGACCTAGGCGTCACAATTTTAGGAGCGACAATTTTTTTTAAAACACTATTTTATATGGATTTGTCAGGTGGATCTTCGAGGCAGGTGAAGAATAATTAGATTCTATATTGTCATACGGAATTAAAATGAGGATAAAAGAGTTTTTTTTATATAGGTAGAATATTCCAAAAAATTTCCTCATATGATTCCAAAAGCTAGACAGTTTTCTTATAACGTTTTTATTACGTCAAAACTTTTGAATGGAGCTTATGAATACGAATTACATTATGATATTCATATTCACAAGGACGAATTCTTCGTTAAGAAAGAAGTGTTTCGAAGCTCTATTTTCGTTATTGCGAGAGAAATAGAAATAGGAACGTAAAAGCCCATGCTTTCGAATTTTTGCAGTTTATTCTAAAATACGAGCTCCAGAACAAAATTTCGAATATTATAATACTAATGCAAACTTACCTTGAGACTGATGTAAGTGTTGCTAATTGTGAAAAACGTTTTCTAAATGAAATTATTTAATAATTATAAGGCATTTTCTTCTCCTTTCTGCATGCGACCCACCAGCGGGCGGCGGTAAAGTCACTGAACACTGGTAGTTCGGTCCGAGGTTTGAATCCCGCGAATGGGTTGGCTGCATGGGCGTTTTCCTATTTTCCCCATGTGTAACGTGTATACGAGCCAGTTTCCTATAGAAAGTCCTCCACGAAAGCATCCTTTCCCTTAGGCAGATAGCCCTCGAGGCCTTGCCATAATCACATAAACCAAACGAAACCAAACCAAACCAACCCTTTCCGCATGACTTCGTGGTGTAATTGGAAGCATACTCGACAAATATTCGAGAGGTCCAGGATTCGAGCAGCGGCGAAAGCATTGTACACTTTTTGCTGCAATATAACCTAATAATTCTACAAGCGGCGCCCGAACTAAAAGGGTGTGGACGATAATTCGTCAGCACCAGGGATGGCGACTGGGTCTCCTCATCTCCAGTCGCCCTTTAAAGGGGGAAGTATATAAGGTATTTTCTCCCTGCTTTTCGTATGCCTTCGTGGTGCAATTGGAAGCATACTCTGTAAAGACATTAGGTATATTTTAGAAGCAGGAGAATTGAAAAAAATTAGCCAAGCCTTCGCCGGAAATCGAACCTCGGACCTCTGGAATACCGGACCAGCGTGCAGAACCACTACACCACAAAGGCACGCTAGGAAGGCGGGAGAAATACCTTATATACTCCCATTTTTAAAGGGCGACTGGGGTTTTTAGGGGACCCAATCGCCAAATCCTGGGTGGGAACAAATCATCATCCTCCACCCTTTTAGTTTGGGCGCCACTGTAGAGACATTAGGTATATTTTTGGAAGCAGGAGAATTGAAAAAATTAGCAACGCCTTCCTCGGGAATCGAACCTCGGACCTCTGGAATACCAGCCCAGCGTGCAGAACCACTACACCACGAAGGCACTCTAGAAAAGCGGGAGAAATACCTTATAACTCGACGCGCATACTTTAGTTAGTGTTTCACGTTCGTGTTACATCTTTCTCAGTCCTCAAAATTCTGCACTAGTCCAAGGAATTCAAGCGCACGCAGCGCCATCTGGTGCAATACAGTTTCTACACACGTCTCCTCCTTCAAAAAACGTAGTGACTTTACATAACTATAAATGTGTATTTTGCATTTAAGAAATCTCTTTACTGTCTGCACAACAGCAAGAGAAATCAAATAGACCTCTACATGTCACTGATGGTTTTGCGGCGGGGGGGGGGATGCAAAGTAAAAACATAATTTTAAAATTTCAAAATTTAGATTTACCTTCAAAAGTAAACGTAGGGGGTTTAATGCATTTTCCTACATGTCTTTTTGAAATATTTTGTAATTATTTTTTTATATATCAAGATTGGCTGCAAATTCAACAACCGCCCTAGGCGGTAAAGATAAGAACCACCCCCGACGCCAAAATTTCTAGCTGCACCCATACATAATATAAAATAATTTTCTCATTAACATAAATGAACTTTTAAATAGAGTACACATTATTTGGGTACCCGGTTTTAATGTGTGGTTTAGTTGGCTTTTAAATTAATCTTTTGTTTTGAGAGGAGGAACCACGGGTCTCTGGTTGCCATCGTTTTGGTTTGGAGGAGGGTTGCCCTATTTTTAATCATATGGTCCCGCTGGGACAAGGCGGATAGGGTCTCCCTCGAATAGTTCATCTTATATACTTCCCTCTTTTAAAGAGCGACTAGGGATTAGGGAAGGTAGTCGCCAAATCCTGGTGGTCAAGAATCATCATCCACCACCTTTTAGTTCGGGCGCAACTGTAGAGTCATTAGGATTTTTGAAGTAGGGAACAAAGAAATGAGTAATGCCCTCGCCGGGACTCGAACCTGGATCTCTCGATTACCCGCCGAGTGTGCTCCCAATACACCACGAAGGGCAAGCTGGAAGGAAGGAGAAAATACATAATAAATCTAAAGGGGTTAGATGTAACGAACTCCACGCGAAGAGATTTAAAAAGGCAAAACCAGGGAGCGCCCGATAAAAGGATCTAAAAGTGTCAAATCTGATGAACTCCAAACAAAGAAACTCAAACAGGTCAGATACAGAGAAAACCACACAGAGAAACAAAAGGGGTCCAATCCAGAGAACGTCACCCAAAAACTCTAAAAGGGGATCAAATCCGGCGAATGCCATACAAAGAAATCCGATGTTCGTCGGAAAGAAATTTCAGTGGGTCAAGGCCGGCGAGGCTTCTAAGAAAGAAATCGTAGCTAAGTCAGAGGAAACGAAACTTTCTTATTTTAGAATCAAAGCGACTACTGATGACGAGTTATTCCTCTCTCGTTTAAAATTAAATCCTAAAATGCAATACCATCAATCTCAAGATATAAACTATTAAACAAACAAAAGGGGCTTGGCTTTTATATATATATATCTACATATAATAAAAGAAAGAGTCTGTCTGTGTGTGTGTGTGTGTCTTTCGTTCGCGCTGCTCGTAAGCTAATAGACCCAGCACTACAAAATTTGGTACATAGGTGCATCTAGACAAGAGCCAGTGCACCTCGAAGCGATTTTTTCGAAATTCGAGAATTTTTTTTATTTTATATTTTGTGACAAAATCGCGTCATTTTGAGACATAATCGGCTATAGGAAAGAGAGATTTTACTCTACACACTCCATTTTCACATCGTCATGAAACGTAGGCACTTAGCTATTTTACGAACTTAAAATAAATCTCGTGTTATAATAAATCGATTCAATACGACTTTATTTAACAAAGGGAGCTTAACACCTTTTCAACGGGATTTTTTCTAAAAACGTTTATATTTAGAAATGTACAGTTTATTTTTCTTTGATTTTGGGACACGTTAAACTTTCATCCTTGCGACTGCTTTTACAAAAAGAATTTTGGAAAAATGATAATATTTTGTATTTTTAAAGAATTTTTTAAATGAAGCTTCCGAGTATACTTCTAACGTCTCACATCTTTAAAAATGTGATTTTGGCAACAATTTTCCTTTCTTATTGTTGTTGATAGATTTTCGATGAAATCGCATCATTTTGAATAGTTTCATTCTTTTAGAAATATGGGTTTGGCAACAATTTTTCATCGTATTTCTTAGGTCATTCTTTTTAAGAGATTGGCATATTTCCTTGTCATTTATATATAATGCATTTTTATTGATTTTTTTTTTTTTTTTTTTTTTTTTTTTTTTTTTTTTTTTATAAAGTTATTCTGCAGAGTAAAATTCTGCGTGGAATGTTTTGTTTTTTGAGTTTCTTTCATGTTAGTATTTTTACTTATTTCACTATTTGTAAGATATTGAAAAGTTTTGCAGGATCTTTTGTCTTCAACGGAAATTGTATTAAGGGATATAGCTTATTTCGTTGCAATTTTTTTCTCTCGAAAATATAAGATAAAATATCATTAATTATACTTTGCTTTCCAGAAGTTTTTGTTTTTTGTATTCTTTTATGTTATTTATTGCTCATTTCACAGTTTTTAAGATATTGAAAAGTTTTGAGTGATTTTTTAAGGAAACAAAGTTCTTAACAACCTTTATACCA